CAGATAGTAGAATTTACCTGAGATCCTGGTTGGAGTAATCCACGCTTAGAAAAGTAAAGAACTGACAGCCAGGGTCCTTTGTGCAGACTCTCTGACACTCCTGATAATCAGGCGTGAACAAGGCTCTGTAGTCTGCCCCAAGAAAGTCCACATTTTGGAACACCTGAGAAAAACAAGGCCCTGGTTCGCCATGAGCAGAAACCAAATCAAAGAAAATATTAGACGGACCATGGAAAGCATGGGGAAAAAAATAAGTTTAGTTGAAAGGAAACCAAAATAACAAATTGCCATTTATGAACAAAGTCACAGCTAGTTGTTTTTTGTTTTGTTTGTGGGTTTATTTAATTTTTTCTTATTAAGTTATTGCTGTTTTATAGAGAATTAACGTTAAAAAAACAAATTTTCATTTTTACAGGAATTCTGCCATCCAACACAGACATAAAACAAATGGGCAGTTTAAACAACCCCATGAGCAAAGGGGGATCTGTTTGTCAACAAATTTCCCATGACGGAATCACCTGGATAAATGATTAACTCTTAAAGTATCTTACGTTACAGTAGTGTAATATTTAAAGTTTGTATTAACACAAACAGCCAATTGGCCAATCAAATAGCCGCACTTTCATGCATTTATTGTTCAAATTGATGATGATCTAAAATTCAAAGCTTGCTTAAAAAAAAAAAAAAAAAAACTAGTTAAGGAATTAAATGTGATTTTGGTTTTGAAACTACTGATCCACTATTTTTTTAACGCACAATCATCTTGCTTGTTTGAATAGATAGTAAGAATAACTGGGGCAAAAAGACCTGATACTGAGAATACTGACAAGAAGAATATGCAGGATGCTATATCAGATTTTTAAAAAAACACAACTATATATACATAATTTTTATTACTGTCTTGTGAGAAACATCTTTATAAGCCTTTAAGCCTAAGTCTTTTTCTCTGACTTTACTTCTTATTTTGAAAGATATCTTTAATATTTTTTTTCTGCAATGTAAATAAATTTTATTTTGACTTCTTTGATTGTTGACCTACTTGCTGGAAAAATGCAGTTCTTTAGAGAAAATCCAGAGGTGACGCCCTGAAGAGGAATTTGGGACGCTGGATCTCCAGACGGGGTGGTTTTAAGGTAGCAGTAAAAGTGCCTGAAGAGAAGAAGGGGATGTCATTATTGAGAATATTTACAATCTTTAAGGAAGTTGATGCAAAAATAGACAAAGAATTGCATGACATCACATATTTTCTCATTCATTGAAATCATTATCTTATTTTATGAGTAATTTGTCTTACATAAAATTCTTGTTTTATCCATCTCCATTATGTTTCAGTCATTTTAAATCAGTTCTGTATTTACTTTAGGAGTATTCATTTCAAGGATCATTTTCAATGTAAAAAAAATGACTGTGTTACTCAATCCTTTATGTATAAGTGTTTCATACCTGTTGTCTCTGGTCCAGTCGGGTCGGACAAAAGTGAAGAAGAGGCATGAGTGGTGCTCTGTGCACAGCCTCTGACAGTGCTCAACAGAAGGAGAGTAAAGGAAGGTTATGTCTGTCCCAGGAAAATCAATGTTCTCCAGAAGTCCATCCCTGCATCCTAAAGGAAAAAAGTTTGAGAGAAGAAAAGTGTAAAATTACCTTCTTAGATGTTACAAAAAGCAAACATATTAAGCAAACAAAACATTTCCATGTAAATCCAAAAACACAGAGTGTTATAGTGAATTACCTTCAATGAAGGAAAAGCTGCTGGCTATTAGCAGGCCAACCAGAATAGAATACTTTTCCATCTTTTACTGCAGATACCTTCAGAGCTCCCTCAGCTTTTAAAAGAACCAGTTCTGCAAATATATAGCAGTCTAAGGGCAATTTACCAATGCTGTTTACGTAGTCTGATTGCATCAAGTCCAAAGTTTTCAGTCATGTGGCCAGCTGTTTGTATAGAAGGGGGATGCCATCCCCCCTTAACATGAGTACTGCCTGATAAGTGTCATGCAGTGTCAGGGTTTACTTGCGGATTGCGGTTTTCCCTTGAGGAAAACCGCAATCTGGGTAAACCCTGTCCTCCCTCCAACGAGCAAGTCATTCACTGGTACAACCCACACCGACTGGCAAACATGTTCACAAGTCATTTTTTGCAAGTCCAAGTCAAGTCTCAGGTCTTGAGAGCCTAAGTCCAAGTCAAGTCTCAAGTCTTGAGAAGGCCTGTCACAATTATCAATTAATCGCACAATAAATTCTAATCACTCGATTAATTAAAATAAGTGCAATAATTTGCATGCTTGCTTGTTTCTCCTTGTGTTTTCATCTCCGTCACTGAGACGGTATAGCTTAAAGGTCGCTATTATATCTATGGAATGATCATTATCTTGAACTGGTAAATGAAAAATACAATTTAAAAAAGCACACACGAAATTGTTTTTCCAGTTAAATTTTGCATCTTTATTTTTTTCTTTCAAAAAAAACAATTTTCTTACAGTATTTATCTGACATTTGTGGTTACAACTTTTTCTAGTTTTAGCAGTAAATGTCTGCTCTTTTATTTTTATGTGAAAATGAGGGCTGTGGAAAAAAAAAACAATCACAATCCTGCTTTTTATTAATACATGTGAAGTTAGCAACTACAACAGATAAAGAAAAACTCTAAATAAATACCAGGACAATAACAATTCTTTCTTAAAAGAAACATTGTGGCAATAACTTTTTGTAACTTAATGCCCTGGAACAGACAGAACCGACTTGGCGGGCAGTATTTTAAATTCAATTCAGTTTATTTATTTAGTGCCAATTCACAACATTATTCACAACATATTTCTCCTCTACAACTGCCATGAAGTTTTTGAAGCTTGGCTTGTCGATCATGCATGCATGGGCACGGGCGTGACATCAGTGCTACGTGACAGTTTGACAGCCCCTCTGCCGTTTTTTTTTTTTACCTCTGCTGTGTGTGGGTAAGGCGAGCGGCGATCAGTCAAGTTAGTAAAACAAAAAACACTTAAAAATAAAATATTGTTCACAAGTCAGAAATCATGAGTCTCAGTCGAGTCTGAAGTCCTTTAAATGCAAGTCTAAGTCGAGTCTAAAGTCATTTAATATGCGACCTAAGTGCGACTCGAGTACGAGTCACAAACTCGAGTCCCCATCTCTGCTGACTGGATTCAACAAGAGACACCTTTTTCTGGAAACGTGAGTCCGTTGCCTTAATTCCCTTCTTTAAATCTAAGACACGAATTTCCCACTGAGCCTGAACTAACCACAGAATCTTCCCCTCAACTTTTCAGTCCCGGTTCGACAGTGTCCTGAGTAGGGGTGTAAATAATAATCGTTTTGTATCGATGCATCGATCCAACAGCCGACAATCCGATGCATCGATACGTCCGCAAGAATACCGATGCATGTTTTTTTTTTTTCCTCTGGTCTATTTTTATCCATTTGCTCCTGGACGTAATTCTCCCTCCCGTGCTGCGGGGGCGCTAAGCCTATTTTACCATCCTACCTCACTTCCTGGTTATACTCTTACAGCAATTTGTTGCAGTGAGCTTGACACTGACATTTTTTATTTATGCTCAATATTGAAGCGTGGTCTGCGCTATGCACTGTGGGTCTAGATACGGCCGAGGCGGTGAGGAAGTGGGGGCGAGTTTAGTCCAACGACGGAGGGACATGAGGGCCAAAAAGAGCGGGGATCCAGGTGGAAAAAGGGTCCCAGCGTTTTCGTGCACCTTGTCTTCTAGCGGGTCAAATTTCACAAGTTGTTTTCCGCAATTTCACTCATAAAAACAAAGCAAGCTGGCCTCCTGTCTGCGGCACTGTTTGCGGTCAGCTACAATTTGGGAGGGGTGCAGCGGAGCGTCTGTGGGGGGGGGCGGGGACGTCGACACTTTGGAGCCAAGGTATTGAATTGCACTCATTGCACTGATTTTGTGCAGTATTTTTTGATGCAAGGCCTTTAAGAATCTATAACACAGGGGTATTATTATTTTTCAGTGAATGAGGTTTTAATAGGAATAGTTGGAGTACAACTTTTCTACTTCTTTTCTTTTGTTTTTTTTCTAAAAAAAATGCATATGGATATTACAATTTTCGTTTTTTTGTTTTTATTTTGAATTTTTGTCTTTGTTTTGCGTTTTAGGTGTTAAAAAAACACAACAAAAAAAACAATTAATCTAATCGAATGGTATCGCGGTGTTTTTTTGAGTATCGAAAATAATCGAATCGTTGGGTCAGGAAATCGATACTGAATCGAATTGCTATGATGGATGTGATTTACACCCCTAGTTCTGAGCAGCACTGGACTCCTCTCAACCAACTCTCAATAAACTCTGTTAAACTTTTCCCTGGTCTCTCTGTTTGATCTTCTGCATGTGGGTCAGAGCTTTAGATAAAATCATGACAGAACACTGTGGCCAAACTGTTGACCCCGCAGAAGCCATTCAGAGAGCCATTAACCAGCAGCAAGCTGCTTTGTCCAGACACGACAACACCCTGGTTGATCTGGTCAATCAGCAGACTGAATTGAATCGCCGTGTTACCCACGTAACCAAGGCTGTCCGTTTTTCCTTCCAGGCTTCGGGCCCAGCCGGCGAGCTAGCCCCGCAGCAAGCTAACCAAGCCATTTTTGCTTCCCCCCATTCTGAGTGTCAGCTGGCTAATCCTCTCAGGTTTGTAAAATTGTTTGTAGAACTCTGTGAACATTAAGACTGTTAGTGTGAGGGATAGCTTTAAACTTGAAAGTGATTGTGAATATAGTCAGATACTGTTTGCAGCTGCAGATCAAAATGAACAACATAACGCCCTCTGGCTTGAGGATTCTTGCGATGATAAAGGAAGGTTTAAGAGGGGAGGATGGTTGGCCAATGTGTTTGTGAACTCTGAATCTTAAAAAAAAAAAGAGATATCCCAGAATGCTTCAGACTGCTTCTAAACATTATGAGGGAAAGAGAGCGCCAGTTTAGGCATTGCAAATTCAGAACCTCGAAGTTCAAACTTAGAAGGCTCCAGACTACTGGGTTCCACAAAACCTCACTTAACCTCTGGTGTTGAGGTGAGCAAACAATCCTCTACCTCAAAGGATCTATCTGTGGTGTAACTGCCAACGTCACTCTGTTTACTTTCCATGTTTCAATATATCTAAGCCAGGCAGAGGTGGGGAGAGTACCCAAAAATTATACTGAAGTCAAAGTAGTGCTACTTCACTATATTTTTATATATATTTTTTTAAATAGCCTTTAAAGTAATTAATTATCTAAGAGTAAAACATTATTTGATAGAAAGATTTTTTTTTAAAACATTATTGCATCTTAGCCCTTGTAGCGGCAGCGAGAAGCAACCGTTAAGGGATTTTTATACCAGCTTTTAAAAATGCAAACAGATTTCTTAACTGAATGTAGGTTGGAGGTTATTCTGCAGATAGTATTCAGATGTGTCTCTGCTTTTAACATAACTAGTTCTGCAAACACAAAATGGCCAAAAGGTGATCCACCTCTGACTCTATTTACATAGTCTGATTTCTAACAAGTCCAAAAATTTTAGCCACAGCTAAAAGCAACAGTTTTGGGACATCTCCACCAGCTTCAGTAAAAGGCTTATTCTATTATTTGAGGATACCCTTAAACCTGAACTGCTTTTATGCTTTCAAATAATGCCTTTTAAAATTAAAAGTGTAAAAAGGGATGTAAACACATTTTTAGTTAATAAAAAAAAGACAGCAATATCCAGCAGAGGGAGACACTGGATAATGGTTTTGTGAGAAACCATTATCCAGTGTAAACCATCGGAAATATTACTTTTTCAGTATTACAGCCTTTTAGGTGAACTAAGCTGTTATATGATTATCAATTTGTTTGAGTGAAATAGATCATAGCTTAATGTAATTATTAATGGGCCATATTGGCATTGCCTGAAAAATGCAGGACCTTAGTAACTAAGTCCAAAGTAACTAATTAATATGGTAACATTATTGTGTAATTCATATTCATTCATATAATTCATTTATATTATTCTAAAGACCTCTCTTGTCCACTGACCTTATTGATATAGTTTCATAGCATTTTAACAGTGATTCTGAAAATACAAAATAATTATTTATCTTTCCAACAGATCTCTGAAAGTTTGGTTCAGGACTAATTGGTGTTTGGAATGTTTACCTTTTCTGTACTTAAACTGCATGAATTTGTATCATAATGTTAAAAATTTATATATAAAATTACATGCTACTGATTGGAGGGAAATTTAAAATTCATGTAGACCTTGTATAGATTAGTACAATGAAAAACAAACCTATTAGATTAAACACAAAAAACAAAAGGTGTGGGGTATCTGTAAACAGTTAAATACAAAACAGTAATAGTGTAATTATGTAAAGTATCATCTGATTCTATATCAGATGACAAATCTGCTTGGAAAACCGTCTTCATCGCAACAGGACTTTCCTAAGAAAAAGTAATTTATTCAATCCAGGGATGTCTGGTCCTCAGATCCATGGCAAGGTTAAACTACACTAGAGTAACAAGCTGTCTTGATCCACAGAACATCAAATTGAGGAATGAACAGTTTGTACTTCTACTAAGTACTGCTAAGTGTATTTTAAAACATGAACACAGCAAAACCCTTTGTTTTTCTTAGTGTTAAAGACTGACCTTTAAAACTAATTATTTTTATTCACAACTTCCCAGAGTAAAACCCCATCTGTGCACACGTAGGATTTTATTCTTTGATTTCTCACTTTTAACATAAACCTCCTTTCCTTCAACGCCTGAACACCGGTAATGCTCAGATCTTGTTTTATAAACCTTATAAAAATTTCTGGACTTGGGTTCCTAGACTAGGCCTCAGAAACACATTACTTCAGACCTTATGTGAAAATCTTCTTGGAATCATATCTTCAGTTCTTCAGAACCTCAACTTTCACTTCTTGGGATTCCTGAACTAACATTGAAAACTATCACTCTTTAACCCTTTTTTAACCCAACCATCTTGGGTCTTCCTCTTCAACCCACAGAACCACTGACCAAGTTTAAAAAGACACTAAAGTACAATGCTGTCTTGATCCGTCATTTGTTGACTTTTAGACCAAAGAGCAACAAGAACTGGAACTTCAGCTTCGACTCTTTCTCATTTCAGGCAATTTCTTCTTTCTTGGTGCAGTTTCCAATCCTGGTCTGTTCCTCCTTCCGAGGATGAAAAGTTAAGCAATTTGAGGAAGGACCCAGAGATATTTATCCATTCCCAAAATGCACGCCTCTTTTTCTACTTTAACCAGTCCAAGGGGGAAACTTCATCAGGGTGTGTTAAGATCCTTTCTAACCAATCAGAAGCTTTGGTTCACTGCTGTCTGATACAAGTACTTGTGCTCGCGCTTCACAGATGTAACCAGTCTGGAACCTTCTATGACAACAATTTCCCAACCCTATTATGTACAAAGCTACTTCCCTTTTTGGAACAGAGCACCTCTGACCTTTGCATTACTCCACTGATTTTTTTGTTGCGAAAACTTTCAAAATGCTGATGGCCAGTTACTCTTAGATCATACTTTTATAATGGGAAAACAGTTCGTTTTGAATGCCATGCCTCTTGAAACAGAAAAAAAGTCATATATTACTGATTACAGCCCTTATTACAGTAAAATGCATGTTTATTTGGCTTATCCAATGCTGTTTAAAGTCAGGAGACTCCAAAGCACATAACACCACATCCAGTCATTCACTCAATCACACACTGATTGAGGGAAACTATGTTGTAGCCACCATCTGACCACCTTTAATATGGTGAAGTGCCTTGCCCAAGTACACAACAACAAAGACAGATAGGTGAGGTTTGAAGTTGGGTTGTAGGTCAAACTTTTGTATCCTACGCTACTGTCACCCCATTGACTGAAGCTTTTCAATAAAAAAAACATATGATAGTATGTAGATTTGCATGTGTTACACTGAATACATGTCACAAAATTATGTATTTTTGATCATGTCTTGTGAAGTGCGCTTTGCCAGTACACTGCCTCATGTCAAGCAAAGGATTGTGGGTTTCTGTATCGCTTCTCACAGCATCTACGAACGTAACATTCTAATGTCAACTTAACAGGCAAACAAAAGCATCCTGCTTCCTCCTCCTAGCTCCGTTCTTATTTCTAGCACTACTAAGATACGGTTTATCATGGCAAGCACTGATGCACTTTGACTTTGGTATAGGTGTCCTACCGATTTCGCCATTCAGAAGGAGACAGAGACTTTCTTTTAAAAAAAATCAGTCTGTTGACATTCAAGGTCATCCAATATCTTGATCCCTCATAGCTCTCAGATCTCCTACAGATTGCTGCCCCTCCCATACTCTCAGATCTTCCTCCTCCATTCACCTTATTGAGCCTCCCACCTACCTTGTCACCATGGGGAGAAAAGATTTCTCCTGCTCTGCTCCCAAACTCTGTAGTTCACTCCCTCCTTATATTTGTAATATTGATACTTTAGCTCTGTTTAATTCATATAAAACTTAACTATTGAATAGAGCATATCTAATTACCTGTCCCTTTTTTAATGTCCGGTATTGTTGTACAGTACACTTCAGTGTTATGGAAGATGATTTAAATAAAATGTGTTATTATTATTATTATTATTATTATTTTTTTTTATTATTATTATTATTATTATATTTGGATTGATTTGTGACATGCAATTAAAATGATAAAACAAAAACAGCTGAATTTATTTATTTATTTATTTATTTAATTCACATCACAAAAGACATCTTTAAAGGAAATTAGGGGAGACTTTACAGTAAAAACTAAGTATTTGCCTTTAAAACAATATTAAACCTCTACAGTAGCGCAGCAGAGGATAAAGGGTTAATAATTCAACACAAAGAGAACTTTTTTTGCGTGAGAGTTAGAAGTCCTTCAGAGCATTTTGTCCTGGAGTGTCCTTCCAGGTAGGAGGCCAGGAGTTCTTGATGCTTGGTCTGTCCTTCACAGTGTTGTAGTAAGCTGCCAGTTTAGGGAAGTGCTCCTCATTCAAGCTGCAGACAGAAGAGGATGTTGTATCATCTTTCCTGCTATTATTCTATTCATTTTGAAGTGATTTGAAAAGATTTAGTTACCCAAAGCGGAAGAGAAAAGCGATGACTGGGAAGACGATGACGTCAGCCAGAGTAAAGCTTTTCCCTGCAAGGTATGGACCGGTTTTCTACAAGAGCACAAAGCAACAAATGATATTTAAGAGTATGCATAACAGCAGTGGCTGTTAAATCATTGCAATCTTTACCATACCAGGAGTGAAAATAAAAAGATTACAAAGAATGGCAAGATCAGAGATTTTTGCAGAGGATCTTGGTTACCTGCAGGTATCCCTCCCACAGTTTGACCTCAGCCTTGAGCTCCTCTGTGTTCCTCTTCTGGGCTGAGTCGTGCCTCTCGTTTTCTGGGACGAACCGAGTGTAGAACAGTGATTGTGCTAACGAGAGAAAAAACACCCAGTGAGCTTCAGTGAATACCTGGTATGACAAACATCAGCTCATGCAAGCTGATTGCAGCCATTTCCTCTTAAGCAACACAGATAGGGATCGGGGAGGACAATCAAGGAAGGAGGCCAGGAATGGGGGCAAACTTAACTTTTCTTTCCTCGACCCATGACCCAGTGAAATGGGGTCAAATATCTCATGATTTTAACCTTGCTTACTATAGCTGAACTGATCATGAGACTCGTGAGGGATTAAAATTTAACCCGGTAACATTGTGATTGTGGCATGACCTGGTTTGCTCTTAAAATCGTACAAGGCATGTGTTTTGAACAAGCTGGATCCTCACGAGGAAGGAAGGAACAGCTGATGTAACACTGCCCCCCCTAAGGATGCAGAATAAAAATCCCACTTGATTTAAGGTTGCAGGCGCAATATTTGGTGTTGCTTTAGTAACCCAGACCTAAGGGAACCAGAGCTAAATGTTTATCCATAAGAGGCATGCTTATGGACAAACATGGAGCAAAATTTAAGGTATTGGACTTCTTTTCACTTCAAGCTGGGCTTACCCAGTTTCTGGAAAAGTGTAAGCCCCTCAAACATGCGCTGGTACATCAGTGCGCTCTCAGCTTTGTTGTCAGGCGCCAGCTTGTTTCCTTGGGACTTGAACTGCTCCTGTTATTGGAGAAAAAGAACAACAATGATAGAGGCTCTGGTTCAGCTCCCTCCGTGGTGTATGGTTTCTCTTTGTTTGCTTCTGAATGCAAACAAGAAACACGCTCCACACCGCTGTCTTGTTTGTGGCATATGGCTGCATAAAACTTTAACAAGGTTCTCACCTCCAGGTAAATGCAAGCACCATATGACTCGTTCAGGACAACGTCTCCATGTTTGAAGGCTGGAAGCTTTGAGACAGAAAGGATAAGGTTTAAAATCAGAGGATTGTTTCTGCAAACTTATCTGGATCCTAAATGTGTGCATTAAAGAAATTAAATTAAATTTCTCGTTAGCAGAATTGCATCAAATAAACCTACCTGACCCCTGGGATTGATGGCAGCGACTTCCTTCGACTTGTGCTCCCCTTTTTCAAAGGACAGCATTTTGCTGTTGTAGCCCTGCAGATTCTTCTCCTCCAGTGCGATCATGACCCTCCAGCAGGGAGGAGAGCCGGAGCCCCAAAAAAGAGTCATGTCCTTGGCCATAGTTGCAGAGTGAGCAGTCGATTCCCAGCAGTAACAAAAGGGGAAGAGTGAGGACTGAGTCTGAAAGGCTTTGCACGTCTGCTTATATAACAGCCTCCAACCCTCAAAAACCGGATTGGTGGAAGTAAGTCCCATCCCATGTTTGTGATATCATCAAAGATTAGTTACTCTAGGAAGTTAAGATAGTTTTAAATCCATTTAAACATGTTTAAGTGCTCTAGTTTGTAGCGTTAGGCTGTAAGTTACACTATGTCTATGTGAATTTTATTTAAATATCAAATGGACTTAAACACCCAGGATGTTTCTAAAGGCAAGTGATCAGGAGGGAATTATCTTGCTTTGTGTTGCAGATCATTATTTCTTATTTAATAAGAACATTTTAAATTAAAAAGAAAAAGAACAAATATTTAAGGGTGCCAAGAATGTCACAGCATGATGTAATGACAAATGTAGGCAAATGACCATGCCTGGTGTGTTTTTTTCCATGCTGCAGCTGCAGCTGCTTTTCTGTTGCAAGGGTGTTCCCTTCTGAAACTATTACTACTTCTGAAGGCTCATTGTGACTCAGCACTTTTCATTCACCTTTGCACAGAGTGGAAATTAGCCCAATTCACAACTACATTCCTTCTGAGCGCAGCCTGCGCTAATAAAACAACTGTGTTATCCAGATAAAAACTTTTGCATTCATTTCAATTTGGTAAATTTTAATCGATACTGTCAAGTGAACTTTTGTCAAATAAAAAGTGGAAGGACACATGAAATTATGGTTAAATGCCAATTAATTTCTCTAATATTATTTATAAAATTAGCTGTGATTTTAATCAATAATTGTTATAATGCAGTTTTTCTGGGCTGTCTCATTTCTTTAAAAATAAGCATTGATTTGGATTTAAAAATAAAATATTACTGAAATAGTTAGAAAAATAAAAATTCAATCTTTCATTCAAGGTGGGATATAAACATCTGTCCGTTTCTAAAGACGATATTCATGAATCAGGAATGACTGCTTTTAAGCAAAACAGCTCAGTTTGATACAAGTTTAACATAATAAGTTTTAATGAATTTTTTTAATAAGTTTTTCAGTCTTGATAAACTACCCAAGGTTAGATATAACATTAAACTCTTGATCCAACTCCAAGAACCCCAAACCAGGAGAGACGCTCTGGATCCTTTTAAGCAAATACAACAAAATCTAAATCTCAAAATAAGACGTTCCGAATCTTCTGATAAGATGTTCTGGTCTGAGAAGCTAACTGGCAAAGAAAACTTTATTGTTTAAACCCTAATTTATCGTTTCGTCCTCTTTTTTCTCAAATAAGAAATATAACTTATAGCTATGAAGTGATGCTTTTCTATTTACTGCAGAGTGAGGTCTAAAAATATGATTTTCATATACCAGAAAAGAAACAATAAGGGAATAATAATTATCATAACCTGCATGCTACAAAGTCTGGCTGAATTGTAGCATTAGCAATGTTAAAACTGAGCTTGTTAAAACTGAAATGGCCTGCTTGTCACTCAATATAGAAAATGTCTGTATTTTCTTGTAATATTTTACACCCTCCCAAAAGTCTTTATTATAGTTTGCTTAAATGGTTTTACTTGCGTGCAAATTCCTGGGAATTGCATGCCAAAGGAAATAAACAACATTCACATTCTTTGTTCACCAGTTACTGGTTGCAGAAAGCAATGTGTGGATCAGGAAAAGAGTAATTTATCACCAATTTAACAGAGTCTGTTTTTCTAATCACTTACCCTGCTTTTTTATTTTGGTCTAACAGAGGCTGAAAATGTGAAAGAAAAATACAGGAGCGATCACAAGACAAAAATGATTTCCTGAATTCCTTTTTTTTTCAGCAAAGCTGCCAGAGGGAGATTTCTGCTTAATCATCTACTTTAAATCTAAGAAGGTTAAAGAAAACCTGAACCTATGTGGACTTATTTTGTCTGAGAATGTTTTCCCCCGCCACATCTCCTCACATTTTTCCCTTTGTTACTAAGAGACAATCTGTGACTTCATCATATGCTGGCTCTACCTACCAAGCCCTCTGAGAATTTGCTATGAGTGCATGACAAGGCTTTTTCTTATTTTGTTCTTCTTTTTCATTCTTTCTTGCTAAACAAAACAGGCAACATGAAGCATGTATATATTTTGTAAAAAAATAAATAAAAAAACCACATATGTAAAGTCCAAATATTATTTATGAGCCTTATTTGTTTTCAGTAAGTTTGTTTATTCGATGTGTAATTCAAGGCTTTTATCGTTTTATGAACAAAGTGCAGCCATAAACAGGGAGATGGAGGGTTTTGTGCACCACCCTGTTCAAATAAAAGCTGAATGAATGGGAGAATAGAGTTCATAATGTTGGTTTGTTCTCCTGTGCACACAGTAAACCTTGGCATTATTTATTTTAACCACTGAATCATGAGATTCAACAAAGTTGGAGATTAGAACGTATTTGAAAAATAAAGCTTTTGCTTAAGTGCATCACCAGAGCCAACCCAAGGTAGATTGGAATGGATTTAGGGACCTATCTACTGATAAGCCCATTTAGGAACCAAAAGCCCACTTGACCTCCCTTTTATTATGCATTTAACAAAACTTATAATGGATTTAAGTATAAAATAACAATTGATTAAATTTTTTTATTGAATGCAATTTTTCTGTGCTCAACAATCACACCAATCATTTGGCAAAACTAAGGAAAGAACATCTGACTCAGATATTGAGTGCAGGCTATACGTTCCCTTCTATCCACCATAGATATGGCATTAGTTTGATGTCAATATTTAGTGCAAAGCATCTTAGTTTACCATTGATGTATCCATTGAGTGCTGTGATTTTTTTTTTTTAATAAAAAGCTTCATTACTGTCAAGTGGTTATTTACTGTCAGGTGTGATTTATGGAATGAATCTCTATGTGGAGAAAACCAGACTTGCTAGTAACTGAATTTGGTCTCAATATAAAGTATTCTGATGCTTGGAAACGTCTATCTTCTGTCATCTTTGGAATAATTATGTCGGTCAGAAGTGGAAATGTGAAGTCTTCCTGAAAAGCCGACTGAGTTTTAGTTTTATTTAACAGCAATTTTAATGCAAATTTTTAGCCATCACTGTGGTGAATTGCTGGAAAAGTTTCAAATCATAGGTTATTTTTCCAATTTTCTTTATAGCGCCAAATATTTTTTGGAAACACTGTTCTGTAATTCAGAATAAATGTTTAATGTCATTATTCTTCTACAACTTTTGGCTGTATCACTTACTCTACTATTTTACCCTCTTTGAGGTATTGCCTTAATTTAGGAATATAAAAGTGCGTAGTTATCATGAGTTACAAGCTCAGAAAAGGTTATAAAAGGTTTCACCTTTGCACTTCAAGTTACAAAATGCATAAAGATAAAAGTAATTAAAACTGACAGATGTACATCTGACCATAATAAACTTTAGCTTTAAATAGTCATACTATCAGCATAACTTCCAAACTATGTAAGCTTTTTTTCTGTTTTTGTTTCAAAACTGAACTTGGTATGTATATAAGTCCCTTTGCATGCTCTTAGCTGGTAGGTGGCTCTAAGCAGCTGCACATTTGGCCACCATTTAATCTTTAAGTACATATCTAGTCAACACCAATGGATCCGTGCAGGCTAAACTGTTGGGAAAATGCACTGATTAATGAGGGTAGTTCTATGTCATTGTGAAGAGAGGCAGAAACCAAACTGCTAGAGCCAGCTTATTTCTCAAAGTGACACAGAATAAAGTGCATCAAACAGATTGACTGGAAAAAAGCAACTCATTGAACATTACATGCAAAAAAGCAAAAAAGAAAAAAACCCTCTGAGATTTATGCAAAGTCATGACAACACATGAGATTGGAGCAAACTAATGGGCCCTGCCATTTAGGTCAACGCCCACTTTCTAACCTGTCTGACCAGAAATATCACTGTTCCTCACACGCGACAGTCTCTGGGCGCACCTTACACTGCATTACTGATTGTTTTATTGCAGCAGGATGGACCAGTTTGATAAATTGATTGCCAGATAGAAAAATAAATGTCGAATACAACTTAATAACTTCTTCTTTAAATATAAGCTGATGGAGTACTATGATATATTTATTTAATTAGCAGAAATTACTAAGTAATTCGAATAGTATGATTACACACACACTAATATTCCTATCCATTCAAAAGGGATGCAAAACATGGATTTATCTTCAGAAAGCCTCAGTAGTGCAAGATTTACGTACAAAATTTAAAGCTGTTCATGAAATTCTGTTTTGTTTTTTTGTTGTTGACATTCATATAAATATACTTGTGTGATAACTTAGTGTACCAGTCAAACTACTGGTTTTTGGTGTATGTCTATTTTGAATTTATAGTCCCCCTGGAGAAAACTCCACCAACCGCCACTTGATTAGGTGTTTCGATCAAGAACCCAGAGTGCAGGCTTTGGGGATCAAACCGAGTATTTGCAACCTTCTCAGAGCACAGGTGCATTGCTCTAACCCACCAGGCCAACACTCCCCAGGTAACCTAAGACACTGCATTTGTGTTATTGTTTTTTTTGTTGTTGTTGTTTTTTAAGGTAGATGTTGTATGTTCCTCGTTTGAGTCATCTTTGTGGGTTTTTTTTTACATTAATCTCAAATTGGTTCAGAACCTGCCTTTATTATTAACACATTGACCTTTGTCGGATCATTGCTTATCTTCCAGCAGCTGATGCAATAATGACTTCACTCCTCAAAACCAACATAAAGAAGATCTGACACATTCTGCTGTTGTACGTACAGTAGGGTCTGCTGTCAAGGCAGACACTTAGGTGCTGCACATCTTTTACTGAATACCCTTTTCTTATTATCCAATGATCATTTTTTAAACTATCCAATTTTTCCTGAAAATCAATTTTCATTGGTAACTTTTAAGATTAGAAAGACTATACTTTATCTGTTGCTTACCTTATACCTTATAACTGTCTCAATGTCAAATAATATGAAACTTCTTCAGATAGTTCGACAAAACATAGGTTGGTTTGTCACTTAACCTGCACTCCAATTTCAAATTGTTGATTGGTAAAGCTTAGATTATGATTACATAAACTCATAACCCTTCATAATGTTTGAATTTAACAACCAGCTGATATGTTGAAGAGAGAACTTTCACAGATAGAGTATGCATTATAGTCTAAGTTCCTAAATGGCTAAAGGAGTCACATGCATCTTCTCAAAAGCTTTTAAACTGGTTTAATTCTATGCGAATATCCGACCAACATGCCATTCTAGAAATGGATGTTTTCAGATTTTATTCTGATTGTAAGATTAATCCTACAACTTGTGGTTTATTTTTATACCATTGACTCTGTTTGAATTGTCGATAATCCATCCATTTTCTGTCATGCTTATCCCAAGTGGGGTTGCTGGTGCCGTTTTCCAGCTGTCTATGGGCGAGAGGTGGGGTACATTCTGGAAAGGTTGCCGGTCTATCACAGGGCAACACAGAGACAAACACCTAAGGAGAATTTAGAGAAGCCAATTAACCTAACAGTCACATTTTTTGGACTGTGGGAGGAAGCCGGAGTACCCGGAGAGAACCCACGCATGCACAGGGAGAACATGCAAACTCCATGCAGATAAACCCCAACCCGGGAATCGAACCCTGAACCTTCTTGCTGCAAGGCAGCAGTGCTACCCACAAATGTTTTTGTTTGTGTCTGAGTAGCTGCTGTTTAGAGGGCATTTCTCCCAAATCTTAATGTTTGTTATCCTGCAAAAATTACATGAAGTTCAGCTCCAGGGAATTTGCTGTAGTGGTAAAAAAATTGGAGAAATGTGTTAAAAAATCCAAATATCACGCTGATCAGAAAAGTGCATAGATTTTATTAGGAGAAACATCTAATCATGTTTGAGATGTACTTCACAAGCTCATAGAGATAAAAAATTGAGATCATCAAGGATGAGAAGCCAAAAAAATGCAACCACAACATGACTCAAGTTTCTATTTTTCAGACATCCTTCAGGGTGTCTTGTCCCTTTGTGTTCTCCAGCCAGTGAGGAGGCCAACTGGCCTTGATACTCGGCCTCTCTCTCAGCAGAGCATAGTACTCGCCCAGTTTAGGGTAACGCTTTTCAGACAACCTGGGGAAATTAAATGGAAAGACGAAAAAAAGTTGAAAAAATTGTTGATAAAAAAAAAAAAAAGCATGATGGGATCGTCACTTGTTTGTCTCACTGACCCAAATCTAAAAAGAGTCCCTATAGTTGGAAAAACAACCACATCAGCCAGCGTAAACGACTTCCCTGCCAGATTAGAGCCAGAACCCATCTAGAGAAGAAAGAAGAGAATCACAGAAGTGTTAAAAACCGGTCATGGCTCTATTGGTTAGACTGTTTTGGTCGATGCACGCTTTACACACGTTGAACAGGTAGCCCTCCCAGAGTTTGAGCTCCATGGTCAGGGCATCTTTATGTCTCTTCAGAGCTGAGTCGAGCCTCTCGCCTTCAGGGACGAAGTATTCATAGAAAATCACTGCAGCTGGAATAAAGAGGGATGATCCAATTTCAATCAAATACATGCAAATATCAATTAAAAAAAATATGTCACAAAGGCTGATATATGGACATGTGTACCAAGATAGAATAACCTGAAACCTGAAATAAAATAAATCAGTCTTTCTTTTTTCTCAAGCCTTTAATTTGAATCGTTTGTCAGTCAGTGTTTCACACAGACACATTAAAGGATACCCACCACCACCAACCTCTATTTCCTGTTTAATTGTCCAACGCAAATGGGACAATAGCTTAAAATAAGGGTCAGCAGTCTGTGAATTCGGAGCTCAAAGCGGCTCTAGGGAGCCTCTACATTTGCTCATAAATACTTTGACATAAAATGATGAAGAACCACCTAATGATTTGAAAAATGGGTATTATAATAAATAGGGGAATGTGAGAAAATCAATTTGGTGATATATTGCCATTTTTGGTCACTTGATATAGTATTGATCGTTCAGCTCCTAATATTAATATTCCTTAAAAGCATGGGGGGAATGTGTTACTTCTGCACTGCCGCTCTGGTAGATGGGCCCTTTAGCTGTGCAGCACAGTTCCATTTCTGTACAAGAGGCAGTCACAGGGGCAAGACGTGGGCTGATTCAAACCCTAAACAAGATGGCTGCCAAAATAACAAAATAACTGAATGATCAATTTCTTTTTATCTTTATATTTCATTTTAATATTAGCTGTATGGAATATCGGCCGCACCCTGGATCAGTGGGTAGCATTGTGGCCTTGCAGCAAGAAGGTTCAGGGGTCTTTCTGCATGGAGTTTGCATGTTATCTCTGTGCATGTGTGGGTTCTCTCCGGGTACTCCGGCTTCCTCCCACATCCCAAAAACTTAGGTTAATTGGTGTTGATGGATGGATGGATGGATGGATGGATGGATGGATGGATGGATGGATGGATGGATGGATGGATGGATGGATGGATGGATGGATGGATGGAATACAACAATTTATCATGATACTACAATATTTTGATAATATCACATTGTGACCCAAGAATCGTGATGCGTATCATATCTCAACATCCTTGCCAAAACTCCTGATCATAAATGGAGGTTTTGGGCAACTTCCATTTTTGTCTCCTGAAATAATAGTAGATATTTTCCATAACCGATTAAGACTATAAGTACCAGTAATTTTGTCTCAGGGTTAACTGTTCTTGTACCATATATTGAATATTGTTTTTTTCTTTTTTTTCTTTCTTATTTGTTTGTCTGTTTTTTTAATAAGCACTGCCTCATGTTCAACTGCTACAGGAAGTTCAAAACATACATTTTGTCACTCTTCATTGCAAAAGCTAATTGCAATCAGAAATTGAAAGATATGTAGAAAAATGAATTTCAATTATCCAATTTTGACGGTTTCAAAGGTAAAAACTGTGTAGCAGAAATACTCCAACTTTTGATTGCCTTACTTAGTTTATCATAGAAAGTGAGGCCCTCAAACATGCGTTGGTACATCAACGCCTGTTCTTCTTTGCTGTCTGGGATCAGTTTTGTTCCTTGAGACTTAAACTGGCTCTGGGAAACATAGAGAGAGAGAATTAAAGTCCTACAGGCAGCATGTGTATTTGCATTTGTATCAAAAACATTTTTTTTTATACATTTTTTCCCTCACCTCCAGGTAAAAGCAGGCTGCATAAGATTCATTGACAATAATGTCTCCGTGTTTAAAAGACGGCACCTAAAAAGGAACAAATATCAACACATTGTAAGAAAACAACAATAGCAAAGGGATTATCTGCTTCCTTTTTTAATAGTTTTTCTGTTCTTTTGTTAATTGTTTTAACCCCTTTTTTCCAGTTCATGCAGTGCTTTTTAAAAAATGATTTCCTTCTTACAGATTTATTTAGTTTTTCTTCACAACGATCACACAAATGTTTCACATAGTCATTCATAATACTTTTGGCATCCAGCAAAACACAGTCAGGGCTATTATCCATAAATAAGTCTGCAGGACTGCTTCTTGAGTTTTATACTCCTCATCAAGCCTTAATCACCCAAGGTCAGTGTTCCAAAATTATGATAAAATGATGAAATAAATTGCATCCATGTGGGGCGTTGGAGGCCTAAAAGAATACTGACTAAAAACCTAACAAAAATTCAAAGTCTCACATTTCCCTGAAACCATTATGATGTTTCCTAAGACTTTTGGGGAAAATATTGTGGGATGAACTTTGTGGAAAGTGTGTGTCCAGTTGTATCTAGGGTGAAATGAAATAAAGAAACAAACAAAAACAGTCAAACATGGTAGTGTAATGCTCTTGGCCTTAAATATTACATGGGAAACTGTCATCAATGGAAATATATAACAAATTCTGCTGTTTGAAGTGGCCTAGTCAAAGTCTGGGCCCTGACTCCTTTAAATTGCTGAAGCAGGACCTGCACTGAATTAAAAGTCTTTGCAAAGATAAGTGGGTTAAAATAATGCAGTGTTTACTCTTTGTTTACTCAAGCTATGTTTGGCTGATATCAAAAGTTGTTTGATGGTCTGAAACTTGTTATATAAGACAAAAACTGTCCAAATTAGAAAATGGGAAAAAAAAATGTAATTGCATTGTTGTGGAAAATTGTTTACCATTGTGATCCATAACTGCCGCAAACAAATCAATATATTCAGTATTTTATCTCACAGCATATTACCTGATATTGAGTTAAAATAAGCTAAGAATTGAAAGCGTCAGGGTTTGTAAACAGCCATAAATTGAGGCGTTTTTTTAACAGAAGGACCTTAAAGGACTCCTGCCCCCTGAAATCATTAACATATACTGTGCTTTTATCTTCCTGACCTTTACACGCTGCATTAGCTTAGGCACTCATCCAGCTGCATACACAGTAATCTGCTACTGGCTGGTAAATCTCCATGTTTTTTGGTATGAATGTGTATTTTAGTTGTGATGTTGTTTGCTCTCTCCTCACCTGACCCCTGGGATTGATATTAAACACCTCCTGGGACTTGTGCTCCTCTTTATCAAAGGATAACAGTCTGCTGTTGTAGCCCTGCAGCTTCTTCTCCTCCAAGGCGATCATGACCCTCCAGCAGGGAGGAGAGCCGGAGCCCCAAAGCAGAGTCATGTTCCTGGCCATGGTTCCAGGGAGACCTGTTACACCTGACAACAGAAGTTGGGAAAGTGAAGCCTGTGTGTGGAGTGGTCTGCGTTTAAGTCCGGCAGCAGCCTCCAGTCGGATTGGAGGGTTTCAAAAAGTCCCATCCAATCATCAATGATTAGTGATGCAACAGAGGATTAAAAAGAAGAACAAGCCCTCCGTTTGTTAAATGATAACACCAGCAGCTTTGTCTCGAAGTTCTTTGATATTTTCGGTGAACTTTGAACAAAAATGCAACATAAAGCCAGTAATAAAGGTTTATTGTGGTGTACACAATGACAAAGACAGTTTTGTTCCAGCCATGCAAAAAAAAATATTATTATCACTCTGCAGCTTCTCACTCTGGTTGTCTCTAAATTTTAGTTTTTAGATTTTTTATGTCTAAATAACCACATTCAAGAAATGTGTTGAGAAAACTTGGAAAAAGAGAAAACAAGGGAGCTGAGTGTGCAGCTGAACACAGAGCAATAATCTATGGCATTATTGTATTAATGGCCAAACCAGACAGACGAAGTGAGAACTGAAAACTTTACTCCTCAAATTTGAGGTCATTGGGCAACGTTTTACTCAACAAGTGCACAAAGTATGAAAAAATGTTACCTGACACATTTCAAAACATTCCTTTGGTTAGCTAAACTTACCTGTAACTCATGGTAGTAGGCTGCTTGTAACAAAACTGCTATCAGAATTAAAGGTACAGCACCAATAAGGTAGAGGTTGTAATTGATTCATTTTGTTCTGATCCTGACAGTCTAATGCTTATGGGGCTGTCAGCTCTCTCATTATCCTAACAGTGTCCACTTTTAGATGCATTAAACACTGCAGCAGTGAATGGAAGCAGCTGAATCAGAATTAATTTTAAAGGCCAAATAAATGGACAAGGAATTTGATTTTGGTTTTCCATTGTTAACATCATAATCAAACACTCCAAATAATATCTATGGTATGTTAAAGGTATAGTGGAGTATTTTTGTACATTTTTTAAAAAAGACCCGCCCCCTTCACTTAAAAAAAAAAAAAAAATGCACATACACCACTCTATATCTGCTCCCAATAGAAATGTCTATTAAACGCGTGATAGAGCGTGCACAAGTCCGTTTCTCCTCATGCACGCTCTTTTAAAAGTTGCTCTTTTGCATCGCTCATACAAGCTTACTTACCAAAACATGATTTGCAATCTTATATGCAAATTATATGTCAGATTCACCACCGGCAAGTGAAAATGGGGACGAGCACAAAGGAAGGCCTTATGTAAACATATCACCAGAATGATTGACAATTAGGAGGACCACTTATTTAGATGATCCACCAGAAAAAAGAACATCCTCCACTATACCTTTAACTCTAAAAATCCCAGAGCTACAAGACTTTTCTTCAGCCTTCAGTCCCCCCAATAGTACTTCACAACTCATGAATCCCTTTTAGGGATATTTATGAAAATAAACAACAAGACAAAACCAGAACAACAGCAACCTGCACACGTGTGCGTGTAGCCAATTTTACTCTGGTTGTCTGAATATAAAAAAAAGGAAGGCAGGCTGTAATAATAAAAGAAAATACTTATTTTTTTAAATGAAAGATAAGAATACTCTTGCTGAGAAAAAAAAAAACTGCCTCTTTGTTTGGCCCGAATTTTGCCATTAGTGATCCGTTATGCTTCTCTGGAGGTAAAAATGTTAACAGCCCATGACCAGAATGTGTGGGGCCACAGTAGGGGTGCAAATCATAATTTTTATCATGATACAGAGTTATGGTTATTTGTTAAGATGACAATATGGTGCAAGCAGAAAAAGGTTCAAATGGTAGAGAAACGCTGATTAAATGCCAGCTAAACATAATTTTATGTGATGTTAGCACATGTTATCTGCCACTGACTTGAATACATGGATTATATGGAAACATGACCAAACATAGCAACGTTGTGGATACATACATATATATATATATGTATATATATATGTATATATATATACATATATATATATATATGCAAAATGCTGCCAGAAAAATTTTGTCTTCTCATAACTGCAGCTGGAATTTTCCCAAGCATGCAAAATGATTTTCTTGTGTGACCTCGTGTGATTTCACATAATCTCGCGTGATCTCCGGTGATCTCTTCGTCTTCAGCACAAGATCAGTCTGACTATAATGAATCAGGTTATCTCAACATCATTTTCATTTCATTAATGTCAAGTTGTTGAATTTCTTGTTTATCCAACATGATTTTATCACGTTTTTTCTTTGAAACATGAAATTATTGTGTTAAAAGTACATGATATTCTTTTGCTAATGGAATAATAACCCCCAAAGTTAATTGTTTTGAGTATATGATAACTTTGATGTTTCTAAATATCAAAAAGTCTGTCTTGTGATTTGATTTACAAGTCTCCAATTGACAGGAAGCCACAGCAAATGCCAAACACAATTATTTTCATATTGATTTCATCTCAGGCATTTTATTTAAAACCAGAATAATTTTTAATAAGGATAATAGAAATAGATCACCTTTTCACACTCTGACACAATAACAACCAAACTGATGCATGTGGCCATCCTGAAGACGACAATGTAGATCAATATTTTAATTTTTGCTATCATTTTATCAATATGGTCATATGTTTCAATGCATTGTTACACCCTCAGTGAAGCTTACCTAGTTGGTCTTTTTCCTGTCAGGATTAAAGGGAACATCTAACTATTCCAAAAAAGTTAGAAAACAATCCACTGGACTTTGTTTCCAAGTTTGAAGGCGTTTCACTTCCCATCCAGGAAGCTTTTTCAGTTCAACGTTTTTTTGAATTTAATTATTATAATAATTATTATTTATTTTTTTTTATTGAAAAAGCTTCTTAGATTGGAAGCAAAACGTTTCAAACTTGGAAACAAAGTCCGGTGGATTGTTGATGCTCAGTCATCCAGGTCGTAGTCATTCCAAAAGAGTAAAAAAACAACTTCACCAGTAACATGTTACTATCTTCTCTGCAGACCTACATGTTTATGCCACTTTGGACCAGCAGAATAAAAAGTGCCACTTTCACCCCTCTAGAATGAATTCTACATGTGCCAGAAATATGTCTGATCAGGTTAAGTGTTTCAGTTTTGAATGTGGTTATCTCTGGTGTTTAAGAGGAGCTAAGATTGTACTAAAGCTGTGCTCCAGGTCACATGACTCACTCATTTACAGATCTGAGCCTCTCATGTTACATAGCAGAGTTTTTAAAAAGAGTGTATGCATCAATATGTGCAAGTGCTGCAAATTGCCCTGAAAAACCATTTAATATATCTCAAATTAAGCGTATACTTTGGTCAAAAGTTATGCAATGTTTTAACTGCACTACAGTAATGTATCTAATGAAGTGATATTCAAAGCAGGCTGTCCTCTGTAACTCAAAGGTCATAATTCATTGGTCTTATAATGAGCAGTTTGGCCTTGAAAGTAACGTTAAGCTACTGCAATATTTTGGACAGTAGAAGTTAAGATAGTGATATAAAAATGTGTAGATCATTGAACTCAAGCCAATCATTGGTAGAATACATATACTGACAAGAGGACATATAAACAGTAAAAACTAAAAAAACAATAATAATGCTTAAAGGACAGTAGGAGTCAACAGTAACATTAAGTCCGTTACACCAGCGGCCTATTACCATCTATAAAACATAAATAAAATAAAAAACAGCATCTAAACCAAACTTGGAGAGATTAATCCATGCATTTGGTCTTTCCAAACCAGCAGTTTATCCAAAATGCTGCTGCTTGAGTCCTGACCAGAACCAGGAAATATGACCATATTATTAATATGACCATATTAGTCCTGCGGTCTAATGGCTTCCTGTGGCTCAGAGAATAAACTTTAAAACAGCTCTACTTGAATAGAAGCCTTCTCATTGTTTAGCACCAAAGTACATCTCGAACATGTTAGAGCGATATGAACCACCTGAGGCCTTAGGGAGGGGTCTCCTGGTGGTCCCTAGAGTCACCACTAAACAGGATGAGGCTTTGTTTCTTCCATGCTGCCAAAGTCTGGAACAGCCTCAGTGAGGAGATAAAACAAGCCTCAAACCTAACTATGTATATAACTGTACATACATATATACATATAACTATACATAACTACCGTATGTATAAGTCCAGGTTAAAATCATTTAATTATTGTTGCCTATGGTGATTGGTTTTATTTTAACTACTTTTAATATATAATTTGTATCTTCCATACATTCGTATTGATTGAATTTGTTTTATTGTGTTTGTATGGTTGGCATTGCTGTGCTTTATTAATAAATTTGCCTAAGAAAAGAAGTGTACAGTGGAGAATGTGCTCGTGTTTAAATGGTGAGCAGAAATTTGGAAAATCTCATCACTTCTTAATAATTGCTGTTATTGAGCCAGTCACCAACTTTCCCCTTCCCCATCTCTATAAATCAGGGTGCAGATATTTCACAGCGAAACAGAGACACAAATAATCATGCACGCTGGAGGGCACATTAGAGAGACCAATTGATGCATCAGTGGGCGTTTGGATTCTATGAGACGTTCGAGCATTCCAAAGAATCCAAGCAATAGGAGGCAAACATGCTGAATCCCAGGCCAGGATTCAAACCATCTTCCTGTTCATATGGTAGGTACCACAGCCGAAGTCTTAGTCTAATACATTGATCTAATACATTTACTGTTTAATATATCAAGAAAAGGTTTTGGAAGACTGAAACAAATATGAAAAAATTGGGTAATGTGTTCATTTTATTTATGTTTATATGTTCAATCAAGGGATCATAGTTTGTTGAAACCATGATTTTATTTTCTGGGATGATTTTTGCACTGATAAATGCAAAAATGATGCAGTTTGCATTATTGATGCAGTTTGCATTACTATTTTTCACAAACAGGATGAAGGATTTTGAATCATTCATAATATAACCAGACAATCAACCAAATAATTCAAATTGTCGCTTAAATTACGGATGCTAATGGACAGCCTTGCCAAAAAACTATCAGGTCATCAGCATACAGGGCCAGTCTATGCTCTAGATCTCCTAAC